CCCCCATGACTTCTCTTCTCCCTCTTGTGGAACACCATCTTCCCTGCCCCCAGTTAACACCTGTCTACCCTCTAGCCTGCGGCGTCACCTTCCCTCCCTTGTCCTACCTCACGGGAACCATTAAAGTCCTGTTCCCTTCCTTCATAAGAGTGCTCTCCTCTAATAATCGACTTGTTGTGACTGACTAATCTCACTCAGCATAGTGTTCTCCAGTTCCATCCATACCAGTGGTTGCTTCGCAGAGAAACAAACAAATAAACAACAAAAAGTAATCAGTGTCTGTCATGTGACTATTGATGGACACACTGAGCACCTAGCTCTAACTTTGGCATTGCCTAGAACTTCCTCTAAGTTAGTAATAGCAGGGTTGTGCCTAACGCTGTGACAATTTGTATTTCAGCCGGTGTCCTGCCCGCAGTCGCTGGCCCCTACCAAAGAGCTCCTTTCTCATCTTCCTTTTGAAGTGAAATCAATGAGAAGAAGTAGGGAGGAAACAAAACCAAGCTAAAAACATGGTCCTGGTGGACTGCACTGGTAGACTCATCCAGCGAGAGAAGGGGTTGGTTATCTCAGTTCCTAGTAAAGGGTGTCACCCTGATTTTACCCCAATCCTGTAGAAGCGTCTGGCCCATCTGACTGGATACCATTAGACCACTGCACATCCAAGAGGCTGCCATTCAAAGTTCATGATGCCACCTAAAAGATTCTATTGGCTTTAGCTCTGGGAAGCTGGGTTTAAAGGACACCGATCCTCAGGAGGAAGTTTGGATAGATCATGGGTTCAAGTTCTATTTCTAGCACTTTCATGTTTCTGGCCTCCATTTCTCCACGTGGCAGAAGGACACATGGTTGTGTAGCTAACATAATTATAGATGAGGGTGAACAAGGTCATGAATGCAGAGCCCAGCCAAAGAGCAGAAATACTGAATGCAAATCCCCTCCCCTTACCCACAAGCCCTTCATCAGACACGTGCTTGCTTCTTGCCAAAGGGACAGACATGTGCAAGCAGCAGCTCTCCCCCATTCTTACCTGGAGCCAAAGCTTGTCATGCTGAGACCACTTTCCACCAGCAATGCACTGAAATGTGGCATTCTGCCCCACGTTCACCTCGACATTTTGGAGCCGCAGAAAGTGAGGTGCCTTTCCTACGAGAGAAACCAAAGAGCATATGAGGACAGGACTCAGACGCCTGGCCCACCTCCCACCATGGATAGCAGTTCAGAGTAGGAAGTGACCTGGTTCAGCCAAGGGCCAAGGGCTCAATGATCCGTGGAATTGAGCCATGCTCTTATGAGCCTTTTCTTGTGAGTTTTTCCTCTCTCGTTTTATTTAATTCCACAAACCTCATGAGGTAGGTAGTATTCCCACTTCCCAGATCAGAAGTCGGACTGCCACCACTTTGAACTTTCACAATCCAAGTTCATATTATTAGCTGCTCATAATACTGCCTGGTCAATTAGTCCAAACAGCCCCAGAGTATGTGCAAAGTAGCCATTACCCCGGGGCTGGCAGTGCATGAGAGGAGGCCTCATGAGATGGAAAATGGAGAGGAAGAAAGTTCACATGAGGGGGAGGGGTGACTTGCCCTGGAGGAGGCTGCCTGATGAAAGGAGAAAGCTGAAGCCATGCATCTTTGGGGCTGAGACTTGCAGGCATGGGCTTGGAGATGATGAGGATGGTAAGGAAGACAGACAAAGAGGGGAGGGAGGTAAAGACAGAGGAAGAGAATATCAGTAGCTCACGTGTACTGTTTGTGATATCATCTGTACCATGTGCAGTCTAAACAGGGATTCATTTAACCCACTAAGGTGGCAGTGGTATTATCCTTGATTTAGAATGGGTGAACTGAGGAACTGTATGGTGTTGGCCAAGAATACTGAATAGACCATGAATGACTACAACTGTACAAAGGCCCAGAGTTAGAAAACCTAAAAGAAAGAACATGCTCAGCATATCTTTTTTTTTTTTTCAGCATATCTTAAAGAACCTCAGGAAACAAAAGTCAAGCCTCAATGCTACATTGAAAGATTCTATGGCCGTGCTTCCTTCGGCAGCATATATACTAAACTTGGAAAGTTTCTATGGTCAACATCTTGAATGATGCAGGAAGCATCAAAAGAAAATGGAAAGAATACACAGTCACTGTACCCAAATGGACGAATTGACACCCAACCATTTCAAAAGGTACAATATGAGCAAGAACCACTGGTAGAGAAAGAGTAAGTCCAAGCTGCACTGAAAGAATTAGGCAGACACAAGGCTCTGAGAATTGATGGAATATGAACTGAAATGTTTCAATAAGCGATGAAGCACTGGAAGCACTCATTCATCTATCCCAAGAAACTTAGAAGACAACTACCCGGCTAACTGACTGGAAGAGACCTGTATTTGTACCCACTCTGAAGACCTGACCCAACAGACTGTTCAAATTATAGAACAGTATCACTGAGATCACATGCAAGTCAAATTTTACTGAAGATCATCCAACAATGTTCAGACTGGGTTCAAAAGAGGGCTTGGAACAAGGGCTATCGTGGCTGATGTCAGATGGCCCTTGGCTCACAGCAAAGACTACCAGAAAAATGT